CCTGCACCCGCAGAGGAGCCGCTCATCACGTTTGGACGTATGCCTGCGAGATATTCGCGGCGGCACCTCCCTCCACCCTCCGTCCCATTCGCAAGGCGGAAAACCGCGCTGCGCGTCTCGCGGCGTACCCTCACCTCCCTCCTCCTCTTCCGAATCCATACTCTAGAAACACCGACGTGTTCGGAGTTATGGGTGTAAAAAACCAATTCTTGCCGGAGCTCCAAAGGCGGTCAGTAACGGCGCTTACAAGGGTTCGGGGTCAGAAGGCGCCGCGCATCCTGCGCGACACCGGCCGTGAGGCAAACAGTGGCGCGCATCGGTTCCACGTCCGGAAAGGTCCGAAGCGCGTCGCCTTCTCCTTCCGCGCGCTGCCTCACGACACGCTTGCTGTTTCTTGTGCGAGCGAAAGCGGAGGCAGCCGAGCGCCGAAGGGAAGACTCGCCATCGGCTCGAGCGCAGGACACTTTTGAGCCAAGTCAGTGCCGTGGCGAACATGCAGTGCAGTGCAGTGCAGTGCAGTGCAGTGCAGTGAAGTGAAGTGCGAATGAATGGGAAGATGGATGGTTATGTATGAAACTAGTATTAATGATGTGTGAATGTAGATAAAAAAATTACCAACCCGCAAAATAACAATTTATGTAGTATATAGTATAACAAAACTGATCTTAGTGTAAGTTAGTAATGACAAAGTGCAAGCAAGTTAACTTTAGGACTAGAATGTAAAATTAGCTGTGAGAAAAAGCCCCGCCTCTAGCTGCGTAAGCCGCAAGGCAGCAGCACAATGTATACAACTTAAAGAAAATAAATTCCCTATCTCCACAGGATTACTGTGGAGGGGACAAAAAAAACTGCAACTCTCCATCGAAATTGGGGATAAAACTAGAGGTTGCTACTGTGGCGTCATGCTGGTGTAATCGAACACAGACGAGAGTGGTTTGTAAAACAGTAGATTTATTAACGATCTAGACCGTAGTCTCAATTTAACAACTACCCTGCTCACAATAAACTAAATAAATAGACCCACTACAAGGAGAGATAATTTAAGAACGGCTACCACATTGCAACATATGTTCCCTGTATGAAGCCGCTCTACTTTGAGACCATCTACGCGTCGCCCTAGTGCACCTACACGCACAGACACGGGCTTCACCTGTCGCCGAAGCCGCTAGAACAAGAAGACTGGGGCACTTTTCCTGGACTTATATAGGCCCTTTTGGCTCTACCCCCCCCATTTTCTCCTCCCCAAAGCCGCTCTGGGCCCGCTACGTCCACGGAAAGACCCAGTGCGTCACCACTCCGCCCTTTGTTTAACATCCGGCGCTGCTCGCCTATTTCCACGTGGTTGTCTGTTTTGAGCGAGGCAGGACGCTACACTACAATAGGATGCGCTAGTGTGGCCGGATACAGCCGCTGTTAAGACTCGCCAACTTTCGCATATAAAAATTGGTCAAGAAATACCAATACACTTTAATTATTAGCGATTTCTGAAATAAATAACAAAATAAGATTAATACTGCGTGTTTATCTTCTAAAATTCGCTTTTTCATAATAATACACGCATGAAAGAAACGGGAGCGCCAACAGCAGCGCGATCTTTTGCATCAAGCGCATGTGTTTGCGTGCCGACAACCCACGCACGTTTTAAATAACGTTGGTAGCAGTTCGTATTTTAGTTCGTGTAAGAAGGTGATGCTCTAGAGTGCGCCACTGTAATGGTCCCCACCTTTATAAGGGAGTTACAGGGCCCTGCGTTGATGGGTCACGGCGCGTCCACGGATAAGGTCGTTACTCGCGAAAGTGTATACTAGGATTTATTTAGTCGTGCACTTGACGTAAATCAGCTGTTCGTAGTTTCATCGAATCGGGAACTTCAATGTGGTGACGTCTCTGGAGTGACGTATAAGATCCCGATTGGATGACACAGCAACAGTTGATTTACGCCAAGTGCACGACTAAGTAAATCGTCCTTTAGTGCATTTGTTTTCCTGTGGAGATAGGCGTAGTCTTCCTCCTTTTGATGGTGATATCCGACGCAGATTTACCGGTTCGGTTTTTCCCCAACCACGTATCTCCCATCAACGGGGCTCCGCCCCAGTCGGGACAAGCTCTAAGCTCGCTCACGGTCTTCCGGCAGGTGTGGTAGGGTAGTGCATATTAGTGTGTTTGTGTATGTGTGTATGTACTTATAGAGTGTGGATTGGACACGGAAGACTAAAGAAAGATGGCGCGCGCGGTTCGTAAGCTGTTTGGTAGGGTACTTTTCAGACATTCGCGTGGTGTTGATCGGAGAAACCACGGAAAACTACGGATCAGAGCAGCCGGCCGCTAGAATTCTCCTCGAGACAGCGACTGGATTCGATCTAGGTGTCAAGCAAGTGTCAAAAATCCCGCCACCGTCCGGACTTCCCAAGATCTCCCGGTTAGAAGCGCTACAGTGACATTACTTATGCCCTGTGCCACCTTTCCCCATACACGCAGTGAAACCATTACACTCGCATCCACAGAGGAAGAGAATGCGCATGACTACTTGCCACATGTATCAATTGATATCGCTCATAGGGAGGTTCCAGGGATCCATTCCCAACACACTATACTACATAGGTCGAATTCAGCCCCTGTTACGAGGAGAATTCTAACGGCTCCTGCTCTGGTTGGTAGTTTTGCGTGATTTGTCCTATCAGCACAAGGCGAATGTCGGAGCAGCACCCTAGCAAACGGGCCACGAACCAAGCGTGATCTTTCCTTGCTCTCCCTTGTCTTATCCCCACCCATTATTTATATACTCTTACACGTACTACCCCACGTCAGAAGTTTAGAGCTTGACCCGGTTGGGGAAAACCCCTGGAGAAGGTATTTTTTGAAAGTTGAAAGTTCCCGCGAACGGACAAGTAGGTCAGGCTCACCATGAAAAGAAGAAATTTCGCCATCTCCCTTCATAAAAAATTTACTACACTAATGACATGAATCAACTTAGATGTTGAAGTGCCCGGTATCAAAGAATGAAATAAAATAAAATCAATCTGAATTGGTTTCCCGCAACATGATATTCTTACCTGAAGTGGTATTCGTTCACCATCTGCAGGAGTCCGAAGTGTGTGCGTGAAAGCGCCTTCGGGGTGCAGGACCCACAAGGCGTTCGGAGGCGGGGCCACGTCGTGAACGTGCCTGAGAAACGCCTCGAGAGCCGGCCAATCACCGTCGTCCTCGGGGAGGGCCAACAGGGCGGCGCCGAACCTGCCAGGGCGCATCTCTGCCACGGCGCCGCGCCAAGCTCGCAGCCAGAGGCGCGCCTGCGCCCGCACGCGCTCCGCGCCCCGCACCTGAGTCGCATCGCATCGCATCGCATCGAATCGCATCGAATCGCATCGCATCGCGTCGAATCGCATCGAATCGCATCGAATCGCATCGAATCGCATCGAATCGCATCGAATCGCGTCGAATCGCATCGCATCGCGTCGAATCGCATCGCATCGCGTCGAATCGCATCGAATCGCGTCGAATCGCATCGAATCGCATCGAATCGCATCGAATCGCATCGAATCGCATCGAATCGCATCGAATCGCAATCGATGCCTTATTTACGTGGCGAGACTCGGGCCATCAGGCCAGCTCTTTCGTCTGACCTCGTAAATTTCGCTATGCTCCTTCCACCAACTAGCGGAGAAAGGAGGTATTTCTTGGGCGACGAACCGGCGATTTTTGAATTTGGCTCAAAGGCGTCATTTGGGCTTGAGGATCTTTTACCTGCTGCCGCAGAAGGGCGCCGTCGCCGAGGGCGGGGACGGCGAGCGCCGCGAAAGCCGCCAGCAGCTTGAGGAGCGCACACGCATGGACGAAGCAGGCTGTTTTGAGTCCAACCTCCGATCGAGACGTTACACTGCTAGACGGGTATGAGGGTTTCGGTACCAGCAGTGGGCGATGGCGCATCTCTTTCACCGTAACCTCAGCCACTATCGACGCCGCATCTCCGATTCGAGCTGACCTGCAACCACGTGGAGAGGGTAGTTACAACTGAGGCCCCCGCCAAGTGTGAGGTGCGTGTGTTTCTTCAAGAAGGGAATAGAGCAGCAAAATTTAATTGAAGAACGAGACGAGTATTCGGTGTTAACTTTTAAACAAAAGAAGAGAATTTCTGATTTCTTATTCATGACAACGCCTCTCTCACAGAGCTGCTGTCACCGAACAACTTCTGGGGCAGATGGGTCGTGATTGAATACTCAGTGTTAAGCCCCGACTTAGTTTCATCTCTTTCTCTAATTGAAGAAATAGCTGGAAGACCGAACTAATAAGAGCTTAAAGGCAAAGTTCAGGTCTATCTTACATTACTAGGCGCAAAGTACGTGGAAGAGTGGATCGGAAAGCTCATCCAAAGATACAACAAATGCCTGAATCTTCGCGGCGATAATATAGGGAAAATCATAAATGAAGACACTTTTGTAATAAATAATGTTTTCTCTGCATTTGCCTGCTTTAATTGGCGGTCGGAGTTTGAAAAAAGGGACTCATAGTGGCGAAGAACAGCTCGTAGTGTCTTTAAAAATTTGAATTTTCTCGTAGTCGATAAATTTAGTTGACAAATGTTCCACGCATTTCTCAGCTCAACCGCCAAGAGTAGAATTGTTGCAACGATTATTTTCGTAAGACTTATTCCACTTTAAGTGAATTACTCCATGCCTCTAAATAAGGATGTTTTTTATATTCATTAATGTAGCAGAACCACTTGCCTGAGTTACCATTTCTTCACTCTCCTTCAAGTTTCGTATTCATTCTTAATAAATCATTTACCTATTCTTAATAAATCATTTACCCAATCTTAATTATCATTTTTATAGCCAGTTTATATCCAGATCACTGGGCAGTTTAACAGTCATTCGAATGCAACCTATAAAAAAACATAAGGGACACATGAAAAGCTAAACTTTCAGTGCAATTAAATTTTTTGTGGTGTAAATACAGAAGAAATATATTTTTAGAAAAGTATTGCTAAGAGGGACATATATCGGTATAGAAAACCGAACCATAAATGTTTTAAGAAGTGATGCCTTCACATTTAACTGTTCATTACCTTGTATGAGTAACAAACGTAGTACAGGCAGTTAAGTAATGCCGTGGAATATCGATTTCGAGATTTCAACGTCCATCCGTCCGTCCGTGCCCCTAAACCAGGGGTTTCCAAACTGAGCGTCGCGGCTACCAGTGGTGTCGCAGTGGTTATTAAAAGTGATCTTTATATTTGATTTACTTTAGTGTTTATGTCATTTATGTCAGCAAAATATTTTGTACTATCATACCATATGTTATTTGTAATGTATATGATTTATTTTACTAATCAATTGTGGATTAATTGTACCTGACAAGTACTTTACCAATAGCCAATTGTATCACATACTCATTTGTGTTGAATCTTTAGTAGACCTGTTTTAACCCTGTACTGTGTCTATGGGAGACGCGCGAAGTTTCGTTTAGGTCAGGGGAGACGTGGACGAAAAATGTTCGAAAACCCCTGTCCTAAACCATTCAAATTCTTTCTACAACTACAACACACCAGATAGTGATTTTCCTTCGAATGACATTTGTTCTCTAAAATTAGATCTTTAATTAATGTCAATTACATTTTTCGAAATTTTAGTATCTTTTGTATAATTTAGAGTAATAAAACAAAAATATTACAAACAAGATTTCTCAAAAACGGCTCCAAATTATTTCTTTCATTTTTTCCTATAGATAAATCCTATAGATTCCTAGAAATGGGTTGAATAAGATGTCATAAACGTCATTCCTCTGTATTCTTTTGTTGTTCTTTGTTCAAAATGTACACAATTTTTTTTCATCTTACTCACGTCGTACATATTTACATTACAGACTATTTGTTTACATTATTACATTTGTGATTAGAATAGCTTCAAATTATTATCAATTAATTATTTTGAAAGCTCAAAAGATTTCTTTGAAAGTGATCAAAATAGTGCATTTTCAGTAAAGCCTAAACGACATTTTCTTAAAACCTCCTTCCAATTTTTCAATCAAAACTTCAACACACAACAAGATTTTCCTCTTCTATCTTGTTCGTAAAGTCGTATTTAAGTTTTACGATTAGGAGCCGATAAATTGAGATATGAAAAAATGTTCTTTGGGAGACAATATATGGTAGCTGGGAAGAGAGTGGAGTAACCAAAAATTTATCTTAGACTAAAGAAAATAGAAAATTATTTAGTAGGAGAAAAACTGCACAATTCTGTAGCACTAGTTTCTCTGTGTGTTCCTACAAGGAAGTTATAGATCTTTCTAAAACGTTTCTCCAAGTAAACATGCATTCGTATTTGTTGTATTTTAAACTGCGTTAAACAACGGAAAATATGTGGTAGTAAACTAATTCTATGAGTTCCACATAAGTTATTCTGAGATATCTACGATCATGATAATTCGCGATTTTATTTACGCATTATTTGGTGCAGCGGCTAACGGAAGAATTGAATACGGAATCTGAGAAACCCCAAAGTTTTTTTTTTAAATTCATTGTATTGCAAAAAATTGTTACTTATTATACAAAGCTTATATACATATTACAAAGCGCATTTATTGAAAAAAATTCTCAAGTTCTCAAGTTGTAGTTAATACAGAAAGTTGAAATATTATTGATATAAATCACATAACCACGTATCTTGAACAAATGGGGTTTCTCTAATGCATTCCACTGGTGCGACCCAAATAACATTTGGACACACTTTTCTCCATAAATACACAAGTTAGGCAATTAGCAATGAAATACATGTAGTAATATAAGAAAAATAAAAAAAAACTGATTGTAAAGTTATTTCTAATTTTCGCGCAAGAAACGTTTGTTCTAGACAAATCAAATTACAGTTTTAACTCGAAATAAATGGCATGTTTTTGGGTGTTTTAGACTTGTTTAGTGAAATCTAGGGAAGATTAATATTTACTTTCCACTCAGTTTCCGAGATATGCAATTGTAATCTGTGTTGCAGTAACCTCTACCTCTTGTCTTAACATCCAAACTATTATATTTTCGTGTTTAATCTGTTCGATACAGAACCGAGGTATTTCCCATATCAAAAGGAACACCCTTTCAGGGTGTTGTGTTCGTGTTTTCTTATAAATTGTAAAAATTGTAATATCTTATCATAGTATGTGAAGAGAGAATAGTACTCACCTTTGTACTAATATGAAAGCCCCTAGGAATGGAGATTGAACGCCTACACCATTTCAACTCGACGATGGCATCCTTTCAGACGAAGACAACTTTCGTCACATGAACTTGATTGTCGTTTCAGACCTCAGTGAAATTACGAATCCTAAGAAAAAATGAACCAAGTAAGCAACAGTAAACATGAAGCATATATACCACATGAATCAATGGTAACATTCGTGAGCTCGCATGAAATCGTGAAATTCATAGAAACACTTCCCATCTCAGCACAAACATGACATTGCTATTAGAAAATAGATACGTATCTGACCTGAAAATTTCATTTCCATTATTGTGTCGGTGGTTTGTCAATTCACGCAGTTATCATCTACCGCAGGAGCACTCTGGGAAGGCTCGTTATGAACGATTTAGGTGCTGATGTAACAGATCGTCGGAACTGATCCACCCATTCAAGATCAAAGCTAAATTTTTTTTTCACTTTCGAAAAAGGTCAATCTTTTTTCAAATCTGTACTTTTTAAAATTCAACATTTTCACAATTTAAGAGGGATTTTTCTTTTTTAATGCAACTTACGTATATGTCAAATCTATCACTTTCAAACATTTCATTTACAATTCTTACTTTTCTGCTTATGAACTTTCGACAAAAGTTTTGTTTCTTTGCAGAAAAACGTGCCGATACTTTTGACAGAAAAACAGTTTCATGGGTCTCTGATGTAAAGAAAGTAGACTTTTCATGCTTCTATACGTTCTATAAGTTCTTCTATTCTAATCAAAATCCAGATTTTTAGGTTGATTTCGTTACCGAAAAATCGTTGATTTTTTCAAAAACAAATTTCTAGTTTCTGTCCACCTATCCGTTCGTCTGTGGACAAGTACCTAAACCATTCATTAGATTTTTTCCAGAATTCATTTTCCGATTTTTCGATTGATCTGACCTTACTCTTGGACCCCCGAATTTAAGACAGACCTAATTCTTGGTAGCATTTATAGTTTTTGAGAACTGGAATGGAATACGGGCTAATATTGTTCATATCCCACTGAATAATTACGCAAAAACTGCTACTATTTTTTAAAAAATGTATATAAATTAATAATTGTGAAAAACAAATTCCATTTGAAAAAAACTGTAATCATCATTGATAACGTATCAGTTTGAGGGATCCTAAACATTCTGCACTTTTGCAATTTTCGAAAATTCAGA